TTTGGAGAAAACATGACATCTTCCAAACTTGACCATTTTCAAAAATTTGGCGTTTTCTGACCCGCCGGGTGAGGAAGACGCTCAATTTTTTGAGATAACATGACATCTTCCAAACTTGACCATTTTCAAAAATTTGGTGATTTCTGACCCACCGGGTGAGGAAAATGCTCAAATTTTTGAGAAAAAGTGACCTCTTCCAAACTTGACCATTTTCAAACATTTGGCGTTTTCTCACCCTCCGGGTGAGGAAAACGCTCAAATTTTGAGAAAACATGACATCTTCCAAACTTGACCATTTTCAAAAATTTGGCGTTTTCTGACGCACCGGTGAGGAAAACGCTCAATTTTTTGAGAAAACATCACATCTTCCAAACTTGACCATTTTCAAAAATTTGGTGATTTCTGACCCGCCGGGTGAGGAAAATGCTCAAATTTTTGAGAAAACATGATATCTTCCAAACTTGACCATTTTCAAAAATTTGGTGTGTTCTTACCCGCCGGGTGAGGAGAATGCTCAATTTTTGAGAAAAAGTGACCTCTTCCAAACTTTCCCATTTTCAAAAATTTGGCGTTTTCTGACCCGCCGGGTGAGGAAAACGCTCAATTTTTTGAGAAAACATGACCTCTTCCAAACTTGACCATTTTCAAAAATTTGGCGTTTTCTGACCCGCCGGGTGAGGAAAACGCTGAAATGTTTCAGAAAAAGTGACGTCTTCCAAACCTGACCATTTTCAAAAATTTGGCGTTTTCTGACCTGCCGGGTGAGGAAAACGCTCAATTTTTTGAGAAAACATGACATCTTCCAAACTTGACCATTTTCAAAAATTTGGCATTTTCTGACCCACCGGGTAAGGAAAACGCTGAAATCTTTGAGAAAAAGTGGCCTCCTCCAAACTTGACCATTTTCAAAAATTTGGCGTTTTCTGACCCGCCGGGTGAGGAAAACGCTGAAATGTTTCAGAAAAAGTGACGTCTTCCAAACCTGACCATTTTCAAAAATTTGGCATTTTCTGACCTGCCGGGTGAGGAAAATGCTCAATTTTTTGAGAAAACATGACATCTTCCAAACTTGACCATTTTCAAAAATTTGGCATTTTCTGACCCACCGGGTAAGGAAAACGCTCAGATTTTTGCTAAAAAGTGACCTCTTCCAAACTTGACCATTTTCAAAAATTTGGCGTTTTCTGACCTGCCGGGTGAGGAAAACGCTGAAATTTTTGAGAAAAAACCCAGAGAGGGGCGGGACCAGGGATCCTAACTATTATTCACAGGTGGCTTGCCATATGAATGCAGCCAAAGGAAACCACCTATCTGCAAAGTCCCTGCAACCTAGGACTATGAACAAACAGTGGAAAACACAAAATTGGAGCTCTTGGAACAGCCGTTCCCGAACACTCCTGGCCTAGATTTCTCAATGATGAGATATCTACACTATAAAATTGACAAATCTGATTTGGCAATACACAAATACCCCTTCAATAACAAAACAATATCCCAAAATGGTCTGTGCAACACAGAAACATTGCCAGTTTGGCACACTCTTAGCTTTACCTTCCTTACCAATCCGTCCGGACTTGACAAGGTCTCTGAAACTTTGGCCAAAGGCCAGTTGAATTAGGGTAAGGATTTGTCCTTAAGCAAACAATGTCTCCAACTTGGATGTTGGGTTTAGAGTCTTTCCACTTCCTGCGACTCTGGAGCCAGGTACTCTGCCTTCCAGCGTCTCCAAAACCGGTTGGCAAGAGTTTGAGTTTGTTTCCAGAGTGCTTTGTAAGATCCTTCAGGGGACATAATTTCCTGCCATTCAGAAGTCTTTTGAGTCAAAATGGACGCAGGAGTGAGAAGCTGTGGAGTATCAGAGTCTGTGGTGATGGGCACCAATGGGTGACTATTTACAATTGCTGTCACTTCCGCCATCAAAGTAACAAAAACATTGTGAGTCAAATTCTTACACTCTAAAAACATAGCATTTAAAATCTTTCTACACAAACCAATCTTACATTCCCACACCCCCCCCATGTGAGACGCATGCGGTACATTAAATAACCATGTAACCTTTTCTGTATTCAAAAAGGCTGAAGTATCCATACACTCAATGACCTCGATGTGAATGGCTTGGATAACTAAACAGGTGAAAATGACTGAAAAGAAATGCCTTGTCTCTCTCCTAATTATCTGAGCTAATTGGATAGCTAGCACAGCAGCACAGAGTCTTAACCTAAGGACAGTGGCGTGAGATGGAGCAATCTTAGCCTTGGCCGTAGCAAAACCTAAAGTCTTTGTGTCTGGCATAAGCCACAGCTGCGATAGCTTTCTCCGAAGCGTCGCAAAAGACATGGAGTTCGGTGTGCAAGCTCTGTAAAGGGCTCCTGGCCGTGAATTGGCGTGGGATGCTCAGCTGGTGTAAATCTTGAGCCTGACCGATTTGCTGTTTGGTCTTGGGATCACGCTGCATCTTGCATCTCAAAGACTGCAGTCTCTTCTCTGCTACCTATCTGTTGGGAGGCAGGGTAGGCCGGTCTGCTTTGAAGGGCAAAGGGGCGATCCAATTCCCTTCTTCGCTGAGAGTGACCTCGGAGTTCATGATGTTCAGGAACGCTTGTTCATCTCGGGAGAGCGCTGTGTTCTCGTCGTCCCGCGACACGTCAAAAATGGATGAGAACTAAGATTAAACTCCTTGGCAGCAAACAGAAATGTGGCTGAGGCAACTCTGCATGAGGGTGACTCTGCCACAACTGAGGGTGTTTGGCTGATCTGGACTCAGAGAAGACGGAGGATGCATTCTGTCTACACATACAGGTTCCTGTATGGTCCATCCTAATGGAGTCTTCTGTGCCAAAGGTGCACCAGGAGGACCTCTCTTCTCAGCTCGGATGCTCATCAAGCTGGAGCAGTTGGATCCGATGAGCAGGACTATGTCAATGCCTGGCTCAAAGGGTGGAATGAGGTCCTGTAGTCCTTTCAAGTGAGGATGCGCTTGCATCATCTCTCTGGTAGCAATCTGGTCCTTATTGCATGGGATGGACGCACACTCAATAAGGTCAGGCAACTCAAAACGCATGTCTTTGCCACATGGCGAAATGATAAATCCAGATGCAACGCGACCCTGTCTTCTTTGTTTGCCCGTACAAGTAGAAATACAATAGTCAATAGTCTTTGCCTGCCCCTTAAAGATTCTGAAGAAGTCAGGGGTGGCCAGGGAACCGTCTCTTTGGTTGTCAAGGGCCACATACATTTTCTTCTTCATCCATGGCTTGCTGGCAGGAAAGACCTCTGCCAAACAAATGGGGTAGCAAATCCTAGTCTTCTTTGGGCTGCCACACAATTGGGTGCAGGCCACAGAAGGTGCCTCAGTGCCCAATGAAGGTCCAGCTGAATCCTCTGGATGCACTTCTGGGGAGCGTTGACTGGTGGCTCTGCTCTTGACCTTGGAGGGCACAAAATTCTTGTCATGCATAGCTGAGCAATGCTTTTCGGATTGGCACACCTCGCACTTCACCTTTTCTTTGCATGACTTTGACTGGTGGGGAGTTGCACCGCAGCACCTGAAGCAGATCCTGGACTTCTTGAGGATCTCGACCTTGTCTGCATGAGGTTTCTTGGCAAACTCTCTGCAGTTGGCCAAACTGTGGGGCTTTGTATGCAGTGGGCACAAAACATCCTTAGGCGTCGTCTTGGCGTCAGCTGGAGATGAGTTGGTCTCTGTGGACTTGACAGCGATATTTCTTTTGGTGCCACTGTCTGCAGGTTTCTTAGGGTCTTTGATGGGCCTGTCCATCCTTGGAATCCCATAAAGAGTTGGAAATCCCGTCTGTGGGTCATTGAGTTGCATGGCGGCATTTGTAACAAAGTCCACAAGATAGGTGAACGGTGGGTAGACCTGGTGGTTGGCCTGTTTGAATCTGAAGACTTCTTTGCCCCACTCTTCTTGTAAGGAGAATGGCAGCTTCTGGATGATGGCAGTTTGGGACAGGTGTTGGTCCAGGCAGGCAAACCCTGGAAGCTGTGGGTTTCCCTTGGCAGACTGAAGCTCAATCAATAAGTCTGACAAGTCCCAAAGCTGTTCAAAGTCCTTAGGTTTGAGCACTGGGAACTTATGAAGTCTATCCATCAGCGAGGCTTCAATCTGGGTGCTGGACCCGTAGCGCTGATCAAGCCTCATCCATGTAGTGTCCAAAGCTCTATCTGGTTGGTCGATGAGAGTTTTAACTGTGCAAAAGCTCTCCCGGCCACCCCCAAGACCTGAGGTTCCAGGCTCAGCAATGAGTCCAGGATCACACCCAAGCTGTGAACATTACTAGGATCCTCTGAGTGAGCTCTTGATCTTAAAAGTCTGGCCTTCACAGAGTGCCCAGGATAGTATTTCGCCATTCAAAAATCCAACTCAGTATTCTTGGCTGGTTATTACATTGGGTCTGGAATGAAGTATAGAATAGAACAAATGTAGATACACCCCTTGAAGTCACCAATCGACTTATGGTGACCTCATTACGACATCATCCTATGGGGTTTTCCCCCGTCCTAGGATCCTGCTGAGATGCAGCCAGGGTGGAGCTTGCTGTAGCCTATTGCATGATGTGGGGCTACTTTCAGTGGGGCTCTGTCCTGGCAGTGTGTTTAGAGGCTGCCCTGAGAATGGGAACACGGGTGTATTCCCATTTGCTAAGCTGGAGACAAAACTTGGGGGCAGATGGGAATCACCTAATGAAGATATGGAGACAAAGCAATGCTCTGTCCCATGATTTCCCCTGCTGTTCCCCGGATTATGGACCTCTGTCTGATGAGGTCCTTAGACAAGGGATACTCAGAGGTGGTTTCACCAGTTCCATCATCTGAAATCTAGCCAACAAAGTGTTGATGCTTCATAGCCACCTCTGCTTAGAATGCAGTGGGTGTTCTCTGCTTGCCAGAAGTTATAGCCTTTGGTGACACACCTGTTTCACTGACTCATCTCAAAATTGCAGCTCTGACTTCATTCAAGGCATTTAAAACCCAGCAAATACTAGATAAATCCAAAGTAAGAAAGAGAGGTGGGCTGAGACAGAGCTCTGGAAGAATAGACCTGATAAGATGGACTCTGAAGGATACACATCTCATACGCTGAAACCACAGGAGGAGGAGAAGAAGGACCATAAGAAGACTTGGAATGAGGAAATAGCAGATTTATTCCCTGCTAAGAAGCCAATGCCAGGTGAAAATTACTTTACTCTTTGATATCCCATAAATAGCTCAATAGGTTGAGAAATATTAATCTCTCTCAAACAAACCTCAGCCCCTGGTTTAGTAGACAGAAGAGTTCTTTCCACTGTTGTTTTCTCTCATCTAGTTGACAATAACAAGAGAGAGATTTCAGTTCCTGAGCTTCAACAGTACTTTGAATATCAGGATGAGTTCTAGTTAGAATTCTTCTGATTCAGTCAAGTACCAGCTTTTTGTGTGTGTGTGTGTGTCAGGAGCGACTTGAGAAACTGCAAGTCGCTTCTAGTGTGAGAGAATTGGCCGTCTGCAAGGACATTGCTCAGGGGACGCCCGGATGTTTTGATGTTTTATCATCCTTGTGGCAAGCTTCTCTCATGTCCCCGCATGAGGAGCTGGAGTTGATAGAGGGAGCTCACCCACGCTCTCCCCGGATTCGAACATGTGACCTGTCGATCTTCAGTCCTGCCAGCACAAGGGTTTAACCCACTGCGCCACCGGGGGCTCCTGCAAAGTACCAGCTGAAGGCACTTTACCTCTTGCCCATTTTGTTCTGGGGCAGTGGCTCCCAACATGTGGTCCATGAACCATCAGTAGGTCCCAAGAACTAAATATGGTCCATGGTCTCATTGTTAATACACAGTTGCAACTAGAGTGACTGGTCTCACAAAACCCTCTTATAGTGCTGAGGCAGGCCCGTAGCCAGGATTTTGATTTGGGGGAGGGGGTGCTGAGTTTGATTTGGGGGGGGGGCTGAGTCTGGGTGAAAGAGGGTCTACCTTAGCAAAACTTTTGTATAGTTACCCCAATATCCCCAGTGGTCTCTCCTTTGCTGAAGAAACCAGATTTAGATCCCTCAGTTCCCTCCAGTTACTGCCCAGTTTCAAATCGCTCGTTCCTGGGCAAGGTGATTGAGAGGGCAGCAGCGGAGCAGTTGCAGCAATTCCTAGACGACACAGCCAGACTAGATCCCTTCCAATCCGGCTTCCGTGCGGGGCACGGGACAGAGACTGTGCTGGTCTCCATCACGGATCACCTTCGATGCCAGCTTGACCAGGGCGGGTCAGCGCTGCTTGTGCTATTGGATCTCACAGCAGCATTTGACACAGTCGACCACAATCTCTTGACCCACCGCCTTGCTGTTGCTGGAATCAGGGGGACAGCTTTAAACTGGCTGTCCTCCTTTCTTCACAACCGTGGACAGCGAGTGGAGAGGGGAGGCCTGGTCTCTGAGAGGTCCCCTCTATCTTGTGGGGTTCCTCAGGGGGCCATTCTCTCCCCTCTGTTGTTTAACATCTATATGCGACCACTTGCTCAGCTGGTTCGAGGTTTTGGGCTTGAGTGTTATCAGTACGCTGATGACACTCAGCTGGTGCTGAAGATGGAAGGCCGACCGGACTCTGTACCCGGTTGTTTCCATCAGTGCCTCGAGGCCGTTACTGGATGGCTGCGTGCCAGCAGGTTGAGGGTGAATCCAGCAAAGACGGAGATCCTATGGCTGGGTCAACCGGGCAGTGGGGATATCCAGCTGCCTACCCTGGATGGCGAGGCGTTACGCCCGTCATCATTGGTAAAGAGTCTGGGAGTCCTTTTGGACCCTCTGCTGGCGATGGAGGCCCAGGTCTCCACCGTGAGCAGAACCGCCTTTTTTCATCTGTGGCAGGCTAGACGGCTGGCCCCCTACCTGTCCAGGGACGACCTAGCTACGGTGATCCAGGCCACGGTCATCTCAAGACTGGACTACTGTAACGCCCTCTACATTGGCCTCTCTGTCGGTGATTCGGAAGCTCAAGTTGGTACAAAACGCAGCTGCTCGGCTTCTTGCGGGAATTCCGATGAGATGCCACATAACACCAATCTTACTACAGCTGCATTGGTTACCAATTGAGCACCGGATCACTTTCAAAGTGATGGTACTCACCTTTAAGGCCTTGCATGGTCTGGGGCCAATGTATCTGAGGGATCGTCTCACCCCCTACCAACCCCAGAGATCCCTCCGTTCTGAGGACCAAGATCTATTGGAGGTCCCCAGTGTCAAGACCTTGCGTCTAGCGGCAACCAGACGCAGAGCCTTCACAGCAGTGGCGCCATCAGTCTGGAATGCTCTGCCACCTGAGGTTCGTGCCCTGCGGGACTTACCAGCTTTCCGCAGGGCATGTAAGACATACCTGTTTCGACAGGCTTTTAATGTTTGATACTGTTGTTTTTAAATTGTTTTAAATTGGTTTTAAACTTTGTTAGATTTTAGCTATTCTTGTAAGCCGCTCCGAGCCCCAGGGGAGTGGCAGCATATAAGTTTAAATAATAAATAAATATAAATAAATAAATAAATTAGATATATTGAGATGGTGATCAGATCATGATATGAATAAACATAACAGTTTAAATAATGTACCAGTAAGGCCTTCTCGTGGACTACCATGAGAATTTCGGGGGGGGGGGAAGCTGAAGCCCCTCAAGCCCCCCCCCCCCCGGCTACATGCCTGTGCTGAGGCAATGGGGATGTCGGGAGGGGAGAGGCTGAATACCCATGAAAGGCTTCACAACAAGCCTCCTGACTGCTGCTTCTCCTCTTCCTCCCTCCCTCTGAGTAGAGCTGTTCTATGTGGTGCCCAGAAGCAGAGGCACCTTGGTGTCTTTGTTTTTAGGCCTGTTCCTGGGTTATTTGGGGTGCTGATTCAGAAAATTGCTTCATACACATCGGTTCTAGATTATTAAATATAGTTTGCTTTGGGTGAGCAGATGGCGACTATGTTCTGTATCAGGATGTCATATGTTCTGTATCAGAAACTAGAGCTGATGTGGTCTATCCAATGCAATTTTCTGAATCAGTGACCCAAATAGCTAAACCAAATCTAAAGTTGACCAAAAACTGATTCGTAACAGTGTTGGTACTAATGTTGGAGAGTAGTCCGAGGTCAAAGTGGTCCCTGGTTAAAAAAAAAGTTGGAAACCACTGTTCTGGAGTAAGAGGCAGAAGTGGAAGGGAAAGGATGGGCAAAATGAAGTCAGAAAAGCTTCAACCAGCACTTCATCTTTGTACCCACAACTTCTGAGGTCACCTGGCCCATAGAAGGTGAATCCAGCCCCACCATTTCCTTTTTCCCTACTCATGATTTAAACCTTATGATAGGCTTAATCTTTGATCTCTTATACAAACCATGCTATGCCAGGCATGTAAGGTTGTGGTCACATCTGGAAACTTCCAGTAGTGCCCAGAGTAAAGAGTGGTGTGAATGGAAAGCTTCTGAAACTCTCTAAATGCCAGAACTGGTGTTGCTTGTATACACTCATCCTCCCACCCACTTTTGCAGATTTAATTTTTGTGGATTTGATCATTCACAGATTTGGTTAAAATATTCTCTTCAGAAATGTCTAGGTCCTCCAGTGTGACTTTATGGCCAATTTCTGCTAAAAGTTGAGCATAGAGTCATATTGGAGGACCGACTTAGAACTCCGATTTCTGGACATATTTATTTATTTACTTATTTACAGTTTTTATATTCTGCCCTTCTCACCCCGCAGGGGACTCAGGGCGGATTACAGTTTACACATATATGGCAAACATTTAATGCCATTTTTTGACATACAAACATATACAGACATACACAGAGGCTATTTAACTTTTTTCTGGCCGCCAGGGGAACTGTCGCTTTCATCGTCCATCTGCAATGCTGATGAAGCACTTCCGCATTTCCCTCATGCTTCCCCGCTGGAATGCTTTGCTGGAGTCTTCTATATGGCCTCATAAATTAGTTAATTTAGCCTCCCCCACACTTTAAGGTGGTACCTTATTTTCCTACTTGACAGATGCAACTGTCTTTCGGGTTGCAAAGGACGACAACAGGCTACACACAATTGGTTGGAAACCCACTCCAACCCGAGGTAGCTTTGAACTCATGATCTTTTTGGTCAGAATGATCTTAATGCTCAGCCAGCTGTGCCACAATCCCGGTCTGACTGTATATCTGACTATAACCTATCATTTAAAAAAAATAAACTATTTATCGGTGGGTGGTGTAGGTTTTTTTGGGCTATATGGCCATGTTTTAGAGGCATTCTCTCCTGACATTTCACCTGCATCTATGGCAAGCATCCTCAGAGGTAGTGAGGTCTGTTGGAACTAGGAAAATTTATCATAGTAATGGTACAGAACAGAACAAAAATCATTGCATATAAAACAATAATTTTGATATATACATGCATACCTACATTAGTCAATCAACCAGTTATTTCTGACATTGAATGCATATTAATATCAATAACGTAACATAAATCATTTAGTCTTGCTACTTTTATATGTTATCAGCTATTTTCTATCTATACTTTCATCTCATTTATTTTTTTTAATATAAAAGTTCACCATAACATTCAAACAACAACACACAACATATTAAAAGGGGGGGGGGGCAGGGGACAGTTCCATTTTGACTCCTGCATAGGTCATCATCTGGGGACCCCTCCCCCAGTACCAACTGGTGCTCTGGGCCAGAGTGAAGAGAGAGGGGGCCAGGGGACAATTCCACCTTGTCTCCTGTGCTATGCTAAGAATAGAATAGAATATATATTGTATAGACATATAATATTTATTATATTATAATGTAATGCAGTATAATACTAATAATATGATATTATATATTTATATTACATGTAATATTACTAATAATATTAAAATATAATGGTATAGTACAATATAGTAATATTTAATACTGATATTGTACTCTGCTAATAATGTAAGCCTCCAGCAAAGGATCACCGCCTTGTTGTGGCGCTGGAGCTTGAGCACCTCAATGATGTCATGAGCGAAACCGTGAAGGGCCACCCAAGACGGGACGGTCGTGGCAGAGAGGTCAGACCAAGCGTGATCCCTGGGGAAGGCAATGGCAAACCACCCCAATATCCTTGCCAAGAAAACTAAATGGACCAGTACAACCAGAGATATGTCGGTATGCCATTGGAAGATGGGACTCCCAGGTCGGAAGATGGCCAAAATGC